ATTAAACAGGGTCAGGAAATTCAAATCAGCTTGGATCAAAATGTTGGTTTGTGAGAAATATTGGTGTTGATGATTTGTTCAATAAAGTGTTCTCTAAAATTCAATTTCAGAACGAAGCGGAAAATTAGTTTTAAGTTTCTACAACAATTTGACGTTATTACAGAGTTAACCTTTGTCAAAAACGAATTTGAATGATTCAAAACAGCTCACAACTCAGCCAATAAACCAGCACATGTTCAAAAAAAGGAATTTGACGGCCGATTTGTTTTAATTACAATTAAACACATTTTACAGACATGCGAGACGAAACAATCAATACCGAATACCACAACTATTAACCTAATTGGCCTTCGGTATTTCATATACTTCTGCTTCCTGAATAATCTCACTTTTCCGAGTACTCCAAGGAAAACATTCATGATCAAACGTTCCACTAACAAAGACAGCAAAATAAAAGAATTTATAGATGACCTACCTTGCAAATCTACCGATAAAAAACGCATCCAAGGAATTCAAGGTGAGATCTCCCACATTCACACGGGTGGCTAAGTCCTTCTTCACAGGAGACAAGGTAAGCATCCAGCTGATCATCGCACGCTCTGCGAGGCAAGGCTTCAAACGAAGGAATGGTAGTAGATTAGATTCTTAACCAAATAGAAATTCAAGTAAATAACACCCCGGTGAAAAGGGCAACGTTTTCGTTGATGATATTATTGACAACTAACTTAAAAATGACAACGTATCCATGAGAACTGTCACGCAGATATGAGGGTATCACGAAAGAAGAGAAGGTTCTGCACACTGTCGGTCGACTAGAGGTTGAGTTCTGACTTCTTGAATTTTCACATTTCGTACATAGATTGTGGCTAGGGGAAATCTTATTAAAATACGAAGTTGAATACGATACTAAGTTTGATAATCCAGGTGATTTTGCTATATTTATATGTTGAGTTGATCTATTTCTCTGACTGATCACAGATTCTCTAAGCACACAAACTACATCACCAAATGGCGCTATTAAACAAAGTCGCGCGCGCTTGTTCCAATGTGAGCTGATTTATACTCGTCTTTCTAGGATCATCTCCCCAGGAATACCTTACCTACCTGTAATCTTCAATCTTGAGAATACCGCCAGCCTCCTTCGGTTTTAAAAACTGCACAAGATCTTTAGTGCAAGCCATGCGTCAGGACTGGATCCAAGTGTCTTTGTGCCCGGCCGTCCCAATTTAACGACAACAACAAAGTCTTTGTTGCCTTTTATATACAGAACACCTTTTTGGCCCGATTCTCTGTAGGTGCAATACACCAAATGACGGCAGTATTTTCGATATGAACGTTATATTTCGAACTAGGCAATACTCGAAATGATGTCAGATCCCTCAAATTTTCGAATGAAACATCGTAATATTATAAAGACGAAGAGTCCACGATCGAGAAGCGTGCGAGTGCAATAGAAGAAGCAAATGTTACAAGACGTCACGCAATCTCTGAGTGTACCTCTTCTTTTACTTGTTTTGGACCGACAATAAAAAGGGTGAGATGTCCTTCAAAAGCGATTTTTATCAGAAAGGGCTAGTTTTAAGAAAATGAGATAATTTCGCAACAATTCGATGTTCTTTTCTAGCGTACCCTCTAGCTTACAATAAAAACAACTCATAACACTTGAAGATTCATTAGTCAAATCCTCCTAACGAAAAATTATCGTGCAAGGCCGCTTTTTTGACATTAATACAACACAGATAATTTTAAGAGATAAAGAATAAATGCTAATTAAGAGCTTTAACAATGGTGGCATTCTTTGCAATTCTGAATACACTCAGTTTTAAGAGATTCATATGAAAGAGATCGGGAATGCTGTAGATGCGTTAGGTATGGATCAAAAGCGGATTTGGCCTTTGAGTTAATCTTTTTTTTGCGGATTTACGGATTTTTAAGTACGGATCAGGTCGCTTATTAATACTGGACTTGATTACACGACCTTCTGCAGTGTTTCATAAGTTTTCAATATCTCCAGGACATTGTTCCCACAGTGGGGGATTTGTCATTGAAAGTCTGCTCGGGGCGGGAGATCTTTTAAGGTTTTTTCGCGAGAAGTCACGTGACCAGGACCTTGCCGACGGCTAACCGCAAGGTGTTTTTTTGCACCCTAAAAATCAAAATATCGATTTTGTGTTTTCTAAAACAGCCATTTTGTACCCTCAGTAGAGTTCATTTCTTAGTTCAAACTATCTACAATCAGAAACTCGTAAGGGTTTCTAGTTCAGAACATAGAGACTGATATCAGGAATTAGAGATACCCGAGATAAGATAGCAGAAACGATATATAGGAAAACGAAAGTCTCACCATTTCTTAGCCATCACGAATGGGGGTATTGTACAAGAATGGATACAAATTGTACGGACCAGCTGAAATTAAGAGAGAATAAGCGCTCTCCCTTGCTGAAACTCATGACAATATAGTCAAGCAAACAGGTACTTCTAAGGTCTCTAAGCAAACATCTTTCACGCAACCACGAACATGATGATTGATTTTTCAGTTAGTTAGACAAGTTTAGTTTAATTCTTCAGTAATTTTTATAGCCTGATTCTCTCGTTCTATTAAAAAGTTGAAAATCCCGGATAAATAAATGGTAATTTGCATTATTATATACAATTTTAAGAAAATACACTTTTAATTTAGTTTATTTTTTTCTAAAGAAATAAAGACTAAATCTTGTGAATTTTGACGGGAACGACAATCGCGTGTGGCGCTTGTGGTGTAATGGCCATGGTTAACTGAGGGCAAATGGCAACTGATACCAGAAACGAATTCTTAGGAAACTTTTGCAAATTGAAAAATTAAGACAAGCCAGTCCCCCATTGTGCAAGTCAAAGAAAACAATCACAGTACTAATTCTCCTTGCTGTAAGGATAGATTCAGCTGTTTTTCTACTTAACAACCGTTGACAGCTCTTTCGACTGTGGGAATGCAATATTTAGCATATACATCACACATGAAAAAAGTAAATCATTCTGTTTCCTTTTCACTCACAGTTTTTGATTACCGGTTTTTAAACGCTTTGGTGACGAATGTCTTTGTTTCGTTAGTACATTCGGTACAGATTGGAGATGTTTTATAATGTGATCGAACTAATAACGTAATGCCACATTTTTGACCGTTGAACCTTACCTCCGGGAGACAACGTTATCATCTGAAAAAACGATTTCCCTTGATTTTCGCGTGGACATGAAAGAGCTTTTGTAATTATTTGTGACGCACTGATGAATTTCTGAGACGACCGACCACCTTTCTTAGCCCGGGAGGGAGGAGTGATTGCCCCCCATGGGACTTGAGGTATACAGACTATATGCATATATGGGTCAAGGATTGTGGTTGCAAGATTGTAGTTTATGAAGTTCATCAGCATCAAAGCAGTTTCAAAAAGTGGGAAAGCTTGAGGGCTCAGCTCCCTGTCTGTCTGCATGTGCAAAGCAGGTCAGTAGCACTGCACATGAAACTGGGTATTTTATGTTATTTTTTTCAAAAACTGACTTTTACGATCAATAGTAGGAAATTGAAACACTGGAAGCATTTAACACATTTTGTGACTGAGAAAACAGGTGCTGTGCATAGTTCAGAGACTGCCGAAAATGCGATCAGCCAAACATCAAACACAGCTATTGTTTTTTGCTTAATATACTCACTTATCTTCTCCTTTCTAAAATGAGTATTGTTATGTCTCACATTTATTTTGTCAGTTTCTTGATAACTTTGCTCAGTTCGCTGTAGCTGTGAGCAGAGCCCCTTGCTGAAAGATCATCTTCATCTACACAGTACTGTATGTACAAATTTACAGGCTTCCAAAGACTGAATTGCTTTGGAAAACCTCTAACCTTAAAACATTCTTTGCATAGGGCTGTCTAACTGGAAGTCCTTCAAAGCAGTGGGCGACTATACTTATCCTCCAAGGAAAATTCCTAAACTAATAATTTGCATGCAATCTTAAAAACTTAGTAGATTGACCTACCCTTTTACGTCGTTTGTGTTTCTTCTGATTTCGCGTGGTGCTTAATCGAGTGGTTATCATTTTACACCTTGCGGGTTACAAGGGTGAGTTCTGTTAGTCACGAGGTCATGTTTATTAATCACCAGTAACATTTACCTAATGTTTATGGCAAGATGAACCATAGAAGATACAGTTTCTTTGCCGACCCTAAAAGATTGACGAGATGGTTGTTACTTTAACCCTCGTTGAAAATATGTTAAAATATTCATCACTTACCGCACGCATTGTTATAATACACGCCCATGTAAAAGGCTCCCGGACAATATAGTTGACAGAGTATGAACACCGACGGTAAAGGTAAACCCCCGGGGGGGGGGTACTTTAGGAATTTCGGGGTAGGATTTGCCGCTGGGACCCTGGAACCCTTAACCTATACCAGAGCTAGTTCAGCTGAATTTCGCTGCTCTATACTAGAGTAAACTCCCCAAATCCCCCCTATCCTAGAGTAGCTGTTTCCCTAGTCTAGATAAAATCTTCAACCAATTGATCAGTTTCCTGAAAAATGATACCCTATTCTTGACCCAAACGCTCTGATTTATATACCCTATCCTAGAGTAAACAGCTTGAAAACCATACTCACAGCGGCACATACATGATATAGCCCTTATATGACAGTACCCCCCTCCCCCGGGGAACACCGACGGTAAAGGCAAACCATAAGGTTGTCTTCTGAAACTATTTTAATTTTAATTCATACCTTCAAACGGGAGTACTCAACAGTATTTCTTTCTCCGCTCAAAGGTAAAACCATCTTCGTTCGTCATTTTTTTGTAATTATGAGATCGTATCCGGGCGCGGCAGGTGCGGTACAGAAAAATGGACGTATAAAGTAGTGATCTTTTTTTATTATTATTTCAGGTATATACGACCAGTAGGAAACAAAACATGCGTCTTAGGATCAGGTAGAATTTGAAAATTTTTATTAAATTTTCAAATTTACTTAAAAGTAAATCTGCCTACACGACTTGCATGTCGTTATAGAGGACACCGAGGGCTTGTTTGAAGTCCATCAGCTCACTTTCAAGCTTGCCTGCCGAAAAAACAATGATTATTTGTACGAGAAGTAGTCAGCAATACCTAGTGTATGCCACGATTTAAAAAAATGACAAGAAATTATCCCTTTTCCTATAAAGAAACATCGGATGTTCACAATTGATCTGAATTGAAACAGGTGAGTTTTGCTTAAAATGGGAAGTCATCACCATCACTTGCCCATGTATTTTCACATTGTCGAAGTGAGAAATCATCATACGCCAATTTAGTTGATTTCTTTCCCTGGATCAGTACTGTCGGCAACATCAAGAAACAAGCGGAAATTGAATTAACATATATTTAACTTGTTATATGAACCCACATATATTCATCAGTGACTTGGCATCGATGGCTAGGTCACGATATGTTGTTTTTCAACGCGCACATCAGTAGTTTATCCCCTCTAAACAAAGTCACGTTTAATTGATTTTGATTGGCCTGAGCGCGCCTTCACTTCCCTTTTGCCTTCCCGTTAAAACGCCTGCCACGCAGGCTAAATTTTCAGAAGAATATCTCCTGACAGTATCGAAATGAAGTAGTTTTCACTAGGCTAGTAAGTAAAGGGACCAGCAACGGACATTGGAGGAAAGGACTGATAAGTGCTGACAGTACTAGTTGATGCTTTTAGATTTTAAGAGGTTAAAAGCGACGAGAAAAGTGGCTGTGTTGAACGACAGCTTATATCTTTATTTCGGGATCCATTATTAATTTTACGTTGGGGTTGACTAATCACGTGGATTACCTGCTGATGACCTGTATTTCCACTCTTCTTGGAGCGGAAACACTACAAAACTATAAGTCGAATTTTTCATGCGACGATAAAACTGAGTGAGTTTAGTTGGAAGTTTGTCTCAGATTAAGTTCATCTGACTGACTTTTGATCGACAAACACGTTTCAGACAGACGGATGGACGGTGCAAAGGTACCGCAACAGTGCAGTTTGCCCAAGGGCAGTTTATTCTATGGAAAATATATGGGTGCCGAGCTGTTCCTGGAGAGCGATAGTCTTTTCTAGAGAGATCGAGAAAACTGATGCTAAAAACGCACGGGGACTGAGGGGAGAGAAAGTGATCGCCCCCTTTCTCAGATCACTCGAATTCTATTTTCCCTTACATTGACCTTGTTTTCGCGACGTCCCCACTAGCTGGAGAGCTTGTCACAGGCGAGGACAACGAAGACTGTCCGTCCTACTTTCCGCTAAGCGGGGTTCCACCCTAAGCCATACCAGGGGCACCCAACATCAATTTTCGCAATACATCTGTTCGGAAGACGAATGGAGATCTAGAATTTTCGAAACATTTGTTGTTTGCCTGCCTCCCCTAGGATTTTCGATTTTTTTTATGGCTGAAATTTTCGAAGAGTTAAGTTTTGATCCCTATGATTTTCGGATCACTACACTTTCAGCTAGGAAACCCGAACAGATGAAAAAATTTTAGGGGACAAAAATATGCCTATATCTTCCGAAGCGGTTTTGAACTATGTTCGCGTTGGGTGCCCCCGCTATACGACTGTGAACTTTTTCGCACAATTTCCTTTCAACTCTGAGTTCGATTTAAGTTCGACGTTTGATTTAGTAGTCGAAAATAACTAAACTAAGGACGACTCAGAGTCGACCCAAATAGCAATTTGGTTCGTCTCATGAAAGGTTCAACGTTTGGCCTTGGCCTTAGATTTCACAAAAAACAATAAAAAAACGACGGGGCCCTGTAGCCGACCGATGATGATGACTAGCCAGTCAGTCCACAGGTGGGTGTTTGTCATTTACTTTTTTAAAAGTGTGTTTGTTCAAATGGAACACCCTCCCACCGAGTTTAATAATAGAGAAAGTACACGTACTTATCCTTTCTAGCACTGCAAATAACTCCTGAAGTTTGTCCTGGATGATTTTGCTGTGCTTCTCATAAGTTTGAACAATGCTTTCTTCCAAAACATTGCATGACGTGTTGATTTGTTCTTCCAGAACCTTCCGGAAATCTATAAAATTTTAAAAATTTAAAAATGCAATTTTGTGCTCAGGTTGCAAAAAGAAATCGCATTTTCGTAGCTGGATGTGATAGCTACCTGGACCATACCAGCTTGAAATCATTTCTAACTTTAATATGACAATAAACTTCACTTCTCTTCACTTATTTATTTGATGTAACCTCGTTCATTAAATGAATGATATTATTTACATCTCGGATATTTTTGATAGTTTTGATGTCATAAAGATTGTGATCATGCCCGGGGATCATGCACGATATTGGCTGTTCTCTTCGAATGAAATGGAGAGGTTGATTACCGAATATCATAACATCTTGTCAAGTCTTCTCTTGACCTTCTAATGAATGTTTTTTTTTTTATCATGATCAATAAACCATCCTAGCTATTCGAGTAGCAGGGATAGATATTAGATAAGTCGTCGCAGCTTTGTTCATGCCGGATAAGAGGAAAGGCCCCTCCAGCTCGAAAAAGCTACAGAAGGCTTACAGAGGGTCAAACCGGAAGACTTAAACCACTTCAATTAACCACAGCGGACTCGACCAGTACAATTAACTATGAGGTAAACATAATCCACCTGATCAAACACGAGAAGACAAGTTTTACGGAAAGAATTTCGAAAGCATCAGTACTTAGCTAACAGGTTTGGATGAACTTTGATTTGCCAAAAATAATACCTGTAAACTGAATGCATGCCTACTACCTGGCTGCAACCCAGTTGACACTGTGAATCAGGTATTTAAGAAAATAGATGAAAAAATAAGAGCCAAAGAAAAAAAAATGTACCGTTTAGTAAATCAGTGTCTCGCTTCCGCTTTGCATTAATGTCATCGATTAATTGCTGACAACTTCTCTGAATATCATCATGGGAAGCATTTTCACCGCGGTTCACGATACTGGCGTCATGTCTTGATCCTGGTAAACTGTTGTTTTCTTTGTCCGGTTCCTTGGCCTTCTCTTTTGGCTCACTAAAAAAGTTAGAAAAGATATAATCATTGAAGAGTCAGGAAGAAGCATCACACAGATATCAAGTGCCTAGGGACAGAAAAATAACGGGAACTTCATATACCCGTTTTGGTCATCCTGATTACAGCTGGGATAAAAGAAAATTTTTTCGTTTTTATTTGATACTGGCAGAAGCATATAAAAACCAGTTTCCCCAAGGAACGCTGCTTTCTTTCAAGTAACCTTAACCTAACAACAATAAAACAAATTCCAATATTTGTCTTTGAATTTCAATTATACATAAAATTCTGGTTGTGGATAGAACGCAAATGGGCGATTGTGTGGCATGGTCCGCTAAAAAATTAAAGCTAGCTTGCGCTGTTGAATCTCTCAAAATCTCTTCCATATAATTTTCAGTTACCTTGGCTTAATATCATCTCCTTTCGATGCCACATCTTCATTGGTGTTTTGTTCTCTACATCCTTCATGGTCCGTACTCTTCTTTGTTACCTTCTCTTTTTCCATGTGAAGTGCCACTAAAAACAAACAAACAAACAAAAAAGAGCATGCACCGAGTTGCACCGAGTCATTTGCGTTTGTGGCCTGCTGAGAGCCGATAAAACTAGACTTGTAACAAAACAGTACTCTTACATCGGATTATTTTGGGATGAAATTAAAGAATGCATAAACATTTAGTTGAATAGCAGCGTGGAAGTGTCGTTGCATTTTTCAAGCTGTCAATTATAAACCTGAATTTGCTCTTTCTTCAAAGTATCGGTAACCCCACATACATCGATCTGTTCGCGAAACTGAGAACTCCTTCGCCAGCGCATACATACAGCGTAGACGTACCTCTCTGATCTGTAAGGCGCACTACGGGAAATTTGAGGTCAGTACACAAGTCTTAAGTTAAAAAATTCCAACAAAGACACGTCAAAGTATTTAAAGTTTTTCTGGCGGACTAGCGGACTTCGAAAAATATAAACGCATGTAAACATAGTTAGTAGACTAGAGGGGTGGCAGGACGCGCCGTTTCCCGCCAAAAGATGAAGAGGGACTGACAGAGTGGGGACTGAGCACCATAAAATCACAAGGCACCCCAACATTATAAAAACGTGCTAAACACAAGCTAAACACTGTATCGCCAGTAATATAACAACATATAGAGACAAATTTTTATACAGTGAGCGACAAAACATAGGATAAAGATCGATAAAAAGCCCATTTTAAAAAAAGTATTCATTACATCACATGGGTCTCATATGGGTGTATACTATCACTCCACTACCACCCAGTAAGTCACTTTATTGCCAACGGACAATGACATCATCAGTACGTGGCCAAATCACGTGCTTTTAGAAAGTGAAACGAAAATGGCGTCCGGAGGAGTCGTTCCGTTATTTGTTGCTGTTATTCTGGCTTGTCTATTTGAGCAAGTTGAAGCGTTTGACGGCGGGGATGCAGCAGCCCTCATTATAGGCCTTATTATTGGTATTATGGGAATATGCGCTTGTTTAGGCGCGTATGCAAGACGGCAACAGGGAGTGTGAACAATGCTTGAAGGTGTAAGAAGGACAATTACCGAACTTGGATGTATAAATAGAGGAAATGAAGTGCTCAACAAATGCTTCAAGACTGTTATGTGGAAATTTTTACTTTATACGCATGGACCTTCTTGTTATTTGCTTTCCTTTTGATTTGGACAGATTCTTGGAACTTCATCTTGATTTTTTGTCTGTACTGTACTTGTAGAGCGGAACTATCGATATATCAAATAGGACAAGTCCCTTTGGATTCTACTTCTTTGACCCAGTAAATTTTGGTAGGACAGACAGACGGCAGATTTGTAGATGAAGGCTTGTGAATTGATTGCTGATTTCCAATGCTTTACTTGTAACGGGATTTGAACGGACAAACAACCGTACCGTACTCAGTACACCACCATCGCGTGATTGCTCATGTGCCAGGATCATTATTGCAAGCGTGCTGCCTATTATGAGACCGTGGGATAATAGCTTGGTTTAGGAACTTCTCCATACTTATTGCAATTGTAATCTTAAGTAATATTGTAAAGAAAAATAAGAGTTGATTTTTCATGGTATCAACTTGATACCATGGTAAAAATGGTAATTCAAGTCCCTAGCTGTGAATGTGCACCACTTTGTACCTGCAGTATGGTGGAAATTGTCCTGGAAGAGTTAAGTTCATTATTTGAACACCAATGAAATACCAGGTGAGGTTTTGCATGATAGCATAATATCCTCACACATGAAAAGATTGCCATCATTATTAGTTAAATATGCATTTGAGCGTTTGGAATGCAAAAACTAATTAAAGTGAAATGGTCTGGCATTTTATTGGTGTTTATGTAGTAAAATATAGAACATTACTTGGCCGCTTGGAGATCCAACAATAATCTCTTCTTTTCTTGAACAACATATGGAGAGAAATTTGGTATCTCTACATGACCATGTGAGATCCTCTATGTATTCACACAAAACAACTTGATAGCTTGAACTTTTTCAGTAGAGAGAGAAGTATTAATTTAGCTTAAGTTTTATTGAAGTGTTCAATTTAAACATGCAAACAAGTTAGGAGTTTTCTTTACTACTCTTTTGGTACTATTAAATGTTTAGATAAATGAATTCACAGCTTTATTACAAATGAAGACTGTTAATAATATTTAAATGCTAATATTTTGCATGCACTGTGACTTCCTGTGATATTCCTTTCCAGGAATATCACAGAAGTCACATGCAAGATTCAGGCACTCAATCATTCTCTTGTGTTTCTGCTTGTGTGGGAGATACATGCGGGGTAAGATGGAAGAGAAAAAAAAGTCTCTCTTTTTCTGTTTCTCTTTCCCATTGTTCCCTTTGCCAAGATGCCATGCTAGTCTCCTGTAACTGATCCTCAAGTGTTTTTCAAATGTTAAGAAATCAGTTTCAAAATTGCTACTTTCCTTTCACATAAACATGTCAACAAATTTAGGACAGAATGTTTGGGATTGTAATCTCTTGCATAAATTACCTTTTTTCATGACTAGTATAATATTTTATTACCACTACTGTCTTTTTGTTACTCTTGATCAGTGGGCATGATCCATTCAACCAAAATTTCCGGAAATTTTGGTCCAAAACTCAATGGATCGGTTGGGTCCAACCGCAAAAGTTTCGAAAAAACGGGTCCACCTTCTGAGGTGGACCAATTTTCCCGGTCGGACCGGTTGGAATTTTGGTTGAATGGATCGCACCCTGTATAACATTCTTTACCCCAGGGTACATGTTAGCCTCAAATAGTATTAAAGCAGAAAGCTAAAAAGCGTCATGAACCCTATCGCATTTATTTCAACAAATGCATTATTTTAGTAAGCATACTTGATATTGTGATGCATACGCCATGATTAATAGTTACCACCGTTTATCATCCAAGTTGAGAAGATCTATGAATGCAGAGTAAAAATATGATGTGTCTCAAACACCCCAGGAGGCTGAGGCAGTAAATGCCTCAGACAGATAGTTTAGTAACTTATGATTGTGTACAGAATTCTAGAGGTGGTTGTACTCCAACATAATCGTAAATCAGCATATTTTTTCACAGTCATTAATAATTAAGATTAGAGCTGCAAACTACCAGTCTAAATAAAACGTTCATGATTCTTTGTACTTGGTAATGAGTGCTGAGTATAATAGTGATGATGATGATGATGATACTGATAATAATAAATGGTTTGTATAGTGCTTATGCATTTCTGATCTAAGTCCTTTGAAGTTACGAACTGAAAATTAAGAAACTTTTAGGTAAACTGAAAATCGTTAACAGACAAACAGGCTTCTCTGTTTTGTAACAAGGCTCACCTAATTTTTACCTGGTCTATGGCCATGATCACAATCTATTACACTAAAATCAGACTAAATAGTAGTGAAGTTTCATAAAAACCTTGCAATTAATGTAATTTCACGAATGCACAATATTGAACCATGGATTCTGGAGTGAAGTTGATTGAAATAAATGAAAACCGGAGCCTATTGAAAGTAATATTTTCACTTTTCCTGAAAATTTAGATTAATCAAATGAAACTGCCTCACTTGATACGTGAACTTGTTTAAATATTCACATCATAGTACTCAATCCCCTTCCAGTAATGTGGTTTCTCAGTTAAAGGTTTGAAGGTTTCTTCTCTTTTACTAAATAATATTACAGTAAGGACCCGCAAGTAAGAAACTACACTTTCCCAAGTTAATAGCCTAAACAGGTTTTTACATTAATGGTAATTATCGTAATTTAGGCTATTTAGGTTCTTAAATAGGTTCTTCTTTTCTGAAGAAAAAAAAAGCATGGCAGCTATTATTATTTTGTGACATCAGCTTATTCCTTCTATAAAATCTGCATACCAAATTAGTATTTATGTTAAAATGACTATGAGGAGAAGGACAGAAGCACTGTAGCCTGCGAAGCGAAGTCGTATTTCTGTTCGGTGCTTCTCTCCCTCCGAAGGGAAGCGACGACCGGAAATACGTCTGCGCTTCGCAGGCTAGAAGCACTGCAGCCTAAGGGGGGGGGGGGCACTTGGGTATTTTTTGGATGGGTATGTGCCGCCCGGGACTCCAAATTGGCACCCAGTTCTAAAAAAAATTTCCCCTAAAATTGATATGCCGTTCTAGAAATAGGCCAATTTTTTGTACCCCGTTCTAGAATTCACCCTAAAACTGATATCCCATTCTAGAAATGGGCCAATTTTTTATACACCCGCCTTGGACACTAAAACACAGGGTGCAACAAGAGAACAACAGTTTACTTGTTAACTGTCCTTGAATAATTTCAAATGGCTGCTTACAAAACTGGAGCTTTCGTGCGTTCGAAATATTATACCCCGTTCTAGAAAACGCCTCTGAAATGGATACCCGGTTCTAAATCAGGAGCTTCAAAATCACGACCCCGTTAGGCGGCACATACCCGTATAGGAAATGTATGGGAGTACCCCTCCCCTCCCCTCCCCCCCCTCCCCACGGGCACTGCAGACAACATCAATTTGTACGTAATTATTTTTGTAGATTTTAGAAAATAAGCTCCTGTCTCAAACTTAAGGCTTAACAGATTATTGCATAGAGGGGGACTAACTGACAAGTTTTAGCCCAACAGGTTTTTAAATTCCAGATTTTTACCGCTCTCATCGGCATCGTCATCATTTTTTCTCTCCAGAATATTATACGATGGTTTACATGAAGTACACACCAACAAAATGGCGGCGGGCGGGAATGTTGAAGTCGTTTGGAGCAATTTGGTGAAGTACCTCTCGCCCTCGGCTCCCCAAGAACTTGGTATTAAAAGTACGTACCATATAAAGTGCCTCATTTTCAGTGTTAATTGTTTGTGCGATTTCTTTCAGGGACTTGCAGGTCTTTGGAACAGTTGAGACAAAACCCACCTGTGCTCGCACTCTTGCGAGAATGGTTCTTAGGTAAGCTGGCAGCTGCAAGGGCTCGGTTGTTCAAACATTGGATTGCACTAACAAACGGATAGATCGTATAAGTATTGGAAAAGCCCACTGTATTATCCACTGGATAGAGGTTTATCTAGCTAGCGGATAGCAGACCTTCCAACCCCTAAACCATGCAAATCTGGAGTGGAGTGAAAAAAAGCCCCCCAAAACCTGGAGATTGGGACCTCAAACCTGGAGATTTACAAACTATGTGTCAAAGAAAACCAAAAAGGCAGATAATTTGTGTCATATTATGTACCCTTTCAGATATAAGTGACTCCATTTACTTTTAAATGTTGTGCAATATCGGCTGCTCTAGCCACTGATTTTCTTTTCTTCTGAAACTATCTTCTGTTTCACTATCCATGTCGATAAGACGTTTGACTATTCCACAGAACTTAGCCAACACATTTTTCACAGGAGTGAGGTTAGAATTGGACCCAGTTTACCTGCCCCCACCTAAATTCAAAAATTCATACAATTCGTCCATTATGAAGACAATTTTTTTGGAAATTACTCAATTCCCACTGAAATTGTCTGACAATTTCAGGATTTTCGGAT